GATTAATTGTTAAGCTTCACAAGTAGGTTCAAAAATAGGAGCACACTACATTTGAGCTGAGGGGAGCGACTATAAAACAATAAGGTACTTCTTCTTGTCTTACTTGAAATGTCAAAGTAAAGAAGTAATTTAAGATTATTTCAAATATGAGGAATAAATTATTAGAATTTTGAATTTGAATTTTGCTGTCACTCATCATGCTGTAATGTGCTGTAATATTTAATCGAAAGTAATATTATGTCGAAACAAAAACCATTAATTGAAATTTATTACCATATACATACACATTTTAAACAAAAGCAATATATTGCCATTACTTTAACCTGAACTGCTACGGGTATTATAATTATTTTTAGAACAGGTTAACAACATTGTTCTGCTCGAATAATCTTAAATAATAGAATGATTTTGAGACGAAAATGGTCTTGATTTAATTGCAGATGGATCGAAATGCTATATATCTGCCATAACAACAATTAATGACGAATTTGGATAACATGAAAAGTTTTCGATTCACGAAACTTGATGCGAACTGTTACCTTCAAAGTATACGTTAACTTGTCTATTCAGGTAAGTACCGGTGAATCCAAATTAATGTATCATAACGAAAGCGAAAGAAATTATAATCAAAACAGAACCTTTTATTAAAACAAAGGTGTCGCTATGTAGAAGCGACACCTAAATGCGATTCGGTTAGCATTAAAATGTTTAATTCCGACAAGCCCTGCAAACGGACACCTTTAGAGAATGTGGGACTTTTGCAAAGGGTGTAACAATAGAATAGGAAGGCAGGCACACTAACGTTCTTTGTTTCTCACATTTATTGTTTTTATCTTTCCATTTTTTTCTGCTTCTATTTTGAGGTTTTAATGACAATGCTCCGCAAATAGCACTCGAAATTGTCGTTTTAATGTTCGTGCGCTGCATTTAAGGAAAACTTTTTCGTGGTTACAAAAGTTTAGAGTTTCTTTTTTTGTAAGTTTTTAAAACTAAACATGGAAGGGGTGTTAAAAAAAGTTGGCGCATAGGCAACTTTGTATATTCCGCCTGCTGCTGTTAAGATTTTTCGAAATGTCGCGTCCTGCCATTTGTCTGATATGAACTGATGTCTGGGGCCATACGCTTAACAAGTTTTGACAGACACAAAGCAGGGCTAAACATTTGTGGGTTGGGGCTAATGTAGTAGTGCCATATTCATATTTGACAGCATCACAGTCTCAAAAATGCTTCACTTACGCAAATATTTAAGTATCTAACGGTAGCAGAGCTTCTCCCTGCTGCTTGCTGCTGACAGCCATAAAGTACTTTAGGACTCATATGCCACATGTTACGGTGAAAGTTTCAACACAAGGACAGAGACAGAGACTCAAACCCTAAAAGCCGCCACAAAACATTTTTAATTAGCCTAATGAAAAAGTTCCAATGTAAAAATTGTGCAAATTCTAGCATTCTGGCGTCGTTGTCTTGTCTTCTCACAAATGAAGGGAGCCAAGTAAGGCGAATAACGGGGGCAATAATTTGATGCTTTTGTTCAACAGTCACACACACATACACACACACACACAAACACTTGCGATTATTAATGCGTTCGCGCACACACATACACAAACATACACACACACGCTAACATAATGAAAATGTCAGGCAGGCGAAAAACAAAAGGAAAAATGCGACAAATGAAAAGAGGAACGCAAGTGCCTGGTAAATAATATAAGGACAATTGCACTGCACTTGCCAGACGCTGGGCAAACCATTGACTTTTGGTTTTACTTTGGTCCCCTCCGCTCCCCTGCTGCTCCTTTCTTATACTTGTACGATCGCGTATTTGCTTTTGTCGTGAGGGGCTGCCCGGCCAAGTGCAGGGGCGGGGTTGGCCATGAAAGCAAATAGCGCTCATTACGAAAATTGCGTGCATTGAGAAAGTTCAATTAAAAACTTTTTACGACAACAGCACAATGAATAAGGACTCCAAGACAAACACACACACATACACAGACACCTTGTATATGTAAGTTGGTATATACTTATATACTTAAACTATAGTATATGAACCACTTAAGCATTTAAGTGCGCCAGCGCATTGTCGCCATTCTTTTCGAATGACAAAGAAATATGACAGCGTACAATGGGACTAAATTAAGTTACTGCAAATTAAAATGGGCTTCTATGGTATGCAAAGAAAAAAACATTGGAACTAGTTGTTTCAGACATACGTAAAATGCCGTTAGCTGAGGAATTCAAAGTCTGCTCATTTGAGAAATACATACATGAAACATTTTTAACAATTTTAGCATGAGGGATTTTGTTTATCAACATATTTATTTAAATGATTTCATTTTCAGCGAAGGACATTTTTTTTTCAACAAGATAGGACTTACAGCCCATATTAACAGGCCCTTAATTTAATAGAAAATCTTCGCTCCTTACTCATAATTATAAATAATATTATTAATACTAATAATTATTTGACTTCTCAAAAGGTTGTAAGAAATATACAACACTATATCGTGAAATTAAACCTTTTATTCTTACAGAAGAAAAGCCTACAGATATGCAAATACGCCTACAATTTAGTTCATTCGATACAAGTTAAGAAGTTACTTTAGTAATTATAAATAATATTAAACTATAAAAGCTAAAAAATATTTTCATAAAATCGTGACATTAATTTGGCGTCAAACTTGTTACATTTAAGGAAACATTCATAACCTATCAGTAAATATGCTTATGTTTAACATTTTCTCAAAATACAACATGTAATTTAACTTTATACTACTATAGTTGTTCAATTTTGTTGTTGTGTTTTAGCATTGAGCCTCTTCTGTGATTATCCTTGTATTGTGTTTTCCATTTGCTCTTATTCTCGTTTCATAATTTAAGCTAAATTATTTACGCGTTTCGGCAGCATATCGTGCCCTCAACAGGAAGTGTATTAATTTCACAAAATGACAACAAACATAAAAACACGAAGTTTCATATTGAAATACAGACAGTTTTCCTGTAATGAGTGATTTTCCTACAGTGTCGCCAGTGACGCAATATTTCGCCTTAAAATGAACTGAGTTGGATTGTTGAAGTTTTTTCATTGATAATTTGCATAAATTATTTTTTAAATGTATCGTGCATTATTTAATCAATAATTTAATTTTTTGGCCCCCTTTTGTAAAACCTGCGTACGCCCTTGGCTACAGGTGATTCTATTTTGGCCAGCATTTTTGCAATCCGGCACCAGTGTGCAGGGCCCAGTAGTATGCAATGACTCACAATTGATTTTCGACATTTGAGTTGCGGCTGCCAATGTTGCTGCTGTTGTTGTTGTTGATGTTTTCGTTGTCATTGTTGGCCTCACTTTAGATTATTAAATATTTAATGAGCATTTTGTCAAAAACAGCTTCTTGAGATGGTCCCCTAAGTTCGTCGGCTTGTTTGTGTGTTTGTCTTGTAATAATTGACAAATAAATTGAAATGACCAAAAGTTTCCCGTACCTATGAATTATTTAGCCCCACTGAATGTATGTCGTATGTATCCCTGTCATTTGCTAATGATTTAAATGAATGGGGGGCATCCGTTTGAATTTTTTATTTGCGTGCGCATTCGTGTGTAGCGAGGCCGATAATTGCTACAAAGCCAAAGTTTTTACCCAACAACCTCGTGAATGAAGAGTAAAGCAAAGTAACGAAAAAAAAGTAAAAGAAAATAAAAGAATTTGCTTTGACACCAACAAGCAAACGCTGTTGGCTGAAAACTTTTCCAATGTGCTTTGGTTGGCTAAAAGATTTGCCACAACTTTTGCGACAACATATAGAAGAAAATGGTTTGGGATTGCCGCAATTAAAAAAGGGATTAGGTGCATGCTGCCGGTCAGACTTTGATTTTTTTGTGCTGACTTCTTTTTTTAAATTAAAAGTTGCTACGTAGGAGAGAGGAAATAACACAGAGCAAATTAAAATTGTATAATGACGGTGATTAGGCCACAACAAACTGAAAATTGGTTGGCGGCAAATTGCAGCAAAAGCCAAATAGTGAACAGATTGAAAATTGAAAATTGAATGCTACTGTGTCTTAGAGAGAAACATACATAGATATTTAAAACTTAACCAAACTATTATATACCTTTTATAATCCATATGGTATATTGTAGTTAATAAACGTTTGAAGGCATACAATTATAATAAAGTAATGGAATTGAATAATATAGATGACTTAAAATATTTATAAACATAAACTTGATGTGCATATAGACTGAAAGAAGTTGCTTACCACGTTCATATACTCTAGTTTCAAAGGCTTTCAAATTATCCATTCAAACAGTCGAGAATGGTCTCAGGTACTCAAGCAGAATAAGAGAAGTAATTGGAGAAACACAACGGCAGCGGCTGCACTCGGACAGATAAAAGTTTTCTGGACATCTGACCTTAGATCTCCGAGGATCTATTGACCATTTTATGGACCGTTTGATGTTTATTTTCAATGTTGAAGAAGTGAAAGGATATCGAAAAATTTGAACTGTATGTGCATTTGGGTTGGAAGCAGTTGCTTGCCAAGTTCAGTTACTTTAGCTTCAATAGCTTCCAAATTATAAGCGCTCATACATTCAAACAGTCGAAAATGAAGAGTCTCCAGCATATTAACAGAAAAGAGGGTATACCGGCTTCAGTAGGTAAGATGAATAATTTTGGCGAGGTTCACAGCTTTATGCTCCATTTTACTGTTCTCAAAGTGTATTCTCCATCGCAGGCACTACAAGTATATCCTTGTATTTCGTCATAAAACCAATATGCCCATTCATTAAGCTTGCTACACCGGGTATAAAGAATGGTGAAATGGCATTATTATGAAATTGTATTTAATGAGCATGGCTGGAGCGTGTGAAAAATAATTTAAAAACGCAGCTGTCGTGCTGAAAAGCGCCACATAGGGGAAAGAGAAATGCAGAAATTATTTTTTGTATATAAATTAAACAACTTTATTTACTCAATTATGTTACGGTAGTGAATTATTTACATATTTAGGTTTGTTTTCAATTTTGTTTTGTTTTGCTTAATTTCAAATATGCAAATGTAGTATTTTTTCCGTCGTATATATATTCTGTATTTATATGTGCTTAACAATTGAAGCAGCAACAACATTTAACATAGAATTAAAATTTAATGTCATATTTGTTTTCCGTCTTTCGTTTTTTCTTTGTTGTCGGGGAACACGGAAAATGAATCGCGAGAAGTCAAGTTTAAATATTTACGACCCTAAAGCATTTTTATTTACTATATGTGCGCTTCATTCCCTTTTATCTATTCATCATTTTTTCGCGAAAAATCCAACTAAACTATACGTATTTTCACCATTTATCAGCTAGGCGTTTCATTTGCAGTGTCTGTGTTTTTCTTTTTATCGAATATCACATTTTTCTATAACATATGTTTGTGTACGAGTATACATATACTTGTATAAATATTTTTTATGCATATATCATGCCAAAAATAACAGAAACTTAAAAGCAATTTGTATGCCATTTCTACTCCCCCTCGATGTCCTTGGCGCGCAAATATTTGAGAAGCATTTGTAGCGAGTCATAGGTATCGAAGTCATCTAGATTGCGACGCGACGAGGACATATTTGTGGGCCTTGGCATCGCCAGCGGTACGGGCAGGAGCTCTGGCATGACCGAGTGGTGAGTTATCAGCGCCTTCAGGCTCGAGAACTCCTTGCGAAAGCCCTGCCAGTTGCAATAACAACCACAAAGTCATAAGTAATCATCATAATTGCAAACTATTTGTGTACTTACTTTGATCTTGTAGCCGCGCGCCGTTCGCAATATAATGTAGTTTGCTATCTTGGGACCCGGAGGCGATGGCACTCGCAATGTGAGCGCATAGCAACCCGGCTTAGAGGTGCTTTTTCGCACCAGGAAGGCGCCTGGACTTTTACTTTGCAACACCTCCACAGCAATATCTCGTGAGATGCCCGCCTGATACCAACATGCGTCCTTCAGCTCGGCCTCCTCCTCCTCGGGGTTGCTTGGCTGATTGATGCTGCCGCTGCTGTTGCTGTGGGTGTTGGGGTTGTTGTAGCGACCTGCAGCCAAGGTTGTGGCATTGTTCACTCGCAGGCGATTTGCAAAGATCTTGGGACTGGAATTGGCTATAAATAAATAGAGAAAAGTCCTTTGAAAAGTGCTAGGAAATATCAAACGAATCAAAGGACGAAAGCCCTATGGCAGCGATGGGACGTGGTGGAAATATATAAAAACTGTTAAGCAATAGTGAGATAATCATGTTGATGATTGAACGATCCAGTGTTTCATACAAAAGAACATCATTAGTTGTTTTCATAACGTGTTAGGCTTTTGCACGAGATTATAAAAATGACTAAATGGTAAGCAATCTTATACTTTTCAGAAGTATTTTGCATAAAATTCATTACAAATGAAAAGGAAATCTCTTAGTTTATGAAAACAATAAATTTTGAATCGAAACATTTAGTTGGTTCTGTAGAGTTAGGTCCGCTCTATTTTTGTATACGTTAATTTTAAAAAGGAACATAAGGAAACATTTTCACTTGAATTTGTTGTTATATTCTGGATTTCCTTTTATGTTTTTGAAATCAAATTAAAAGCATAAACAAGTTTGCACAATAAATCATTGCGGGATAGGCAAACAATATTTAATTTGTTTTCTTCAAAATTTATTTATTCCGTTTTAAATTAAAACAGACATATTATAATTGATTTAGTAGCTTTTTTAAAATTGGTCGTTACAAACATTATTTGTTAAAACAATGGAAAGAAACCAAAGTATTGGGGTCTCATATATTGAAGATAACTCCAAAAGATAATTTTAAAGTCAAGCACAAATTCCTTGAAATGAAATTCAGTAACTGATTAACAGAAAATTCTTAATGTTAAGATCGGAAACGGTAGACATTAATCGGTATAAATGAATTGCTACTCACCGCTGCTAGTTTCGCGCAGGTATCGCTTCTTCAAATTGAACTCGCTGTTATCGTTCACATTCACATTATCCAGCATGGGTATGGCGGTCAGGGATTGTCGGCAGGAGTCGCCGAATTTGCTGTCGATATAGGAGTCCTCATTGATGTAGCCATTCGAGTAGATGGGATTGCTGTCGCTCTCGCTGCACCTAAGCTGGTTAACCAGAGCCGTGCTGTGCGTCAGAGTGGGCGTTGTACTGGCTATGCTGCCCGTTATGGGCGTGGCATTGCTCACCAGGGGGCATGACTCTTCGTTGTGGCGCAACAGACCCATGGTCAGACGCTTGACCTGCAAAAGTTGCAAAATTTAAACTTCAGACAGAGCAGAGAGTCCAAGTACTGCACTTGAAAGGAGGCATCGTTCAAGGCCAAGGATCAGGGCTGGAGACACAATTTAATGGCTCTGATGCGTGTAAGCAACTTAAGGGATTCAGGGGATGAGTTCAGCCAGACCAAAATGCATTGAGGCGGCAAAAAGAAAAAAAAAAATTAACTACAATTTAAACACCTTGCTGGTCCGACCAAGCCCTGCAGCCGCAGACATTTTGCCGGCGCGCCAGCGTGGGCAAAAAAAATTTATTACCAAAAACCGCAACGAGACAAAAAGCAGCAAAATGCTTGGCGGAAGCGTTGTGCTAAAGTTTGCTGCCATTTTTATTTTTTTATTTTGCTTTTCTTGTTCTCTGCAGCAGCTTTGGCGGCGCACTTAAGCAGGAAACGGATGTTTGGTGGACTGTGCAAGTAAGTACGAATTACAGTTATACACAGAGAAAATGCACAGATGACACTTTAACAGAGATTCTTCGGAAATTATATAAAATAAAATACTGAGCTAAAAAGTTGTAATACAAATGAGAACTATATACCCCACTGTTTGCCTAGTACCTCAACTTTCCTTAGAAAATATTCTCTACTTATTTTGCATTTTTATATAACTTTTCAATAAAAAATTGGGTCGCAATTGAAACTGTGGGAGGACTAGTGATTGCTACAAACAGGTGGAAGGATGAACAAACGAACATCGCGATTTTTGGATGCTGATTATATATATTTAAGTATGTACATCCAACATATGGTCTGCCAGGAATTTTTACACTGACAACAATATACCATTCAGTGAAGTGTTTTAAAAAACCAGTATAAAATTAATAAAAATTTATAAAAGTTTGGGACAGAGACAAAATATATTTGATAATATTATATCTTTGCATAATAGGAGATTATGCAAGATTATTATTTTCATGACAAGGGATCAAGTTTGAAATATATTTTGACTCATTCGAAACGATTGTGGCTTAAAGCCGCTTGAAAGGTTGTGAGCATTTTTATTTGGCTGTGTAGCTGCAGGCAGGAAGAAAACATGAAAGGCGTATAAATTCGAGGCTGCTAACTTGCGCGGCACACACTCGACACACACACACATACAGACACAAACACACTCACACTCATAGACACATTCAGCGAACTAGAAATGTTGCCTAGCAAATGGCGTGCAGGCAACGGAAGCGGCTTGCTGGGAGGCCGAAGACCACCAACAACAACTGCAATAGCAATAAAAAAAAATGCAAAGAAAAGCGATAATTCAGCTGCACTTGTGCGCTCTTGTCGAGATCGTAGGACGGCCGCCATTTTTTAAGGTCAGTGGCTTTGAAAAGTCTGCGGCACACAATGCTTGTCTGCTCGAAACTAGACTACAGCCCTTCTTGGTATCCCCTCTGCCTATGCGCTCTTTTTGGCATAATTTAAAGCGACATTGACAATGAAGCAACGACAGCCACCGCTTTTGGTAAAATTTTCGGCTAGCCCAGGTAAGTTGTCGGTGCCGCCATCGCTGACAGCAATTGTTTGCTCATTGCTGCATAATTTAACAGCCGCTTGCATACTTTTGCGCTGCTTAACCATTGTTCGCATATTTCACGCCGCATTTACACAGATTTACAAACAAGGGGAAAGCGAAGTACATTTTTTAGCTGCCACTTTTCCTGTAATTTCTTTTTGTGCCGGAAGCCGTAAACAGTTCATTTCGAATGCGAGGAAACACAAGTCTTAAACTTTTCTAACTGAAAGACTTTCCATGTAATTGTAGAATCAAGATTCAAATGAACTAAAATGGAACAGGATAGCTGCTGAATAAGCGCAGATTTAAAAACAATTGTATACGTTTCAGTTGCATTTTTTTAACACATGCACAACAGAACCTACAAATCTATTGGTGTACCCTCTGCCAGCTTTTGATTTGAACATACTGGTGTGTTATTCTGGGATTGTCCACGCCCCACCTTTCTTGAATGATTCAGATATATATTTTTAAAAACATATACATTTAAATTTACATTGATATGCAATGAAATGAAAAGGACAAATTGAAGATAGAGCTATGCTTTAAAAGCTAAATTTAATAAAGAGAAGTTTTCTTGAATGTAGAAAATCGTTTCTTTGTTGTATCTTTTGTCATCAGATTTAATTACAGATATAATTGAGTGTAAAGATTCAATGTTAGTGGCAGAGTGATGGAGAACTCAGAGTCGCACTATCTTATGTCTAAATGATATTTGCGACCCCCTATGAATATGGAAACAAATAGTGTGAGAAATCATGATATATGATTTGAAAAAAAACGTACACTCAAACATAGATTCGGTTCGATATAGGTAAGCTAAGCGGATCATATCCCATAACATATGCATTGAAAACAAAAGAGCCCTCCTCTTGCTATTCAAACCCCACTTACACGACCTACATAAACAAATTGTGATTTTTAGAGTTTTCTCCTTTTACGCTCTTCTTAGTATGCTTAAAAATTAAAGAGCACATTTAGCCTGTGTAGCTAACTAGTACTAAGGGCAAGCATTTTGTTTCTGAACGCTTGAATATTAATTTAACATTTTCCATCATCCATATCCGGCTCTGTGGCATAATTGTCCTAGCAGCTGTTGCAGTTCATGTTGCTCTAGAATGGAGCGCACGTTTCATGGCCCAAAACTGGCGTCTGCATTCGAAAAACATTCGGAGAACAACGTTAACATTTATGTAAATTTAATAAAGTGCATCGATGGGGCTCCGGAACAGCCACCCTAGAGATGTGATGAAAGAAAGCAGCATTATATGGTTGCCACAGCAAAGTGTCCAACGTATTCAGATCAGACATCAACTTTGCTGGCCCTTCTGCGTCCGTATGTTGCTGCGTGGACACAGTTCGGGTCACGAATATTATTTATAGCCTTGCAGTCAAATATTTTGTGTCTGATACTCATGTGTGGTTAGCCGTGGAGCAGCAGTGCTGGTGACTTTCGGGTGTTTGTCACTTTAAAATCAGTCAGCCAGACAAGCAGCGGCCACAACATGAGGCGACCGCCAAATTGGACGAGAGCCAACCGATACGAAATCGTACAGTGGCAAGAATAGCTCAAAATAATGTAAATATAAATCTGTTTCCAGAGATTGGATAGAAATGCAAATAATTCGCACACAAATTCCTTTAATTCTACATCAATTAATAGTTTATAAGTAAAAATTAAAACAAAATAGTCAAAATCTTTGCATGTGGTGTTTGGGACCGAAATCTTCAATTTTTGAATACAAATGTTTTATTAATCAAGACTAAACTGCAGTCAATGTCAAAGCCTTTGTTGACACTTATTGTTTTGAAATAAGGACTCGTTTTTAGATATTATTGTATTTTGGATGGCCCTTTTTACTCTTCAACTTGATTTATTTTAAGTTCTCTATTGAGTGGATATTTTTTACCTTGACAGCTTGTTTGCTAATGAAATAAATAAATAAATTAGTTTTTTAAAGTTCAATGAAGATGCTAAACGACAAGTGATTTTAGGCGTGTATTATCTGGATTAGTCCTTTCATTGTTCATTGTTGTTTCAGTTTTAAGGGCTCCAAAGATTTTGCTGTCCAATATAAACTACGGCTATATGGTAGATTTTGCAAAAATGATTTGTGTGTTTCTATTTTTTTTGGCATATCTACTCTTATATATATTTTTAATTAAGTACGAATGTTATGCTAAAAATTAAAAATACAATTTTAATATTGAGTTGAGTTTTTTAAACATATTTTAAACAAAGTTCACAAAATTTCTAATAAGTTTTGAACAAGTGATTTAAATTGGACGATTGTTCTGTGGAGCGATGGAACGGTTAATCCAAATACCCAGAAAAATACCATCTAGTATTGATTTTAAAAATATATAAAAGCAACGATAAATCACGTCAACTTATTTGAAAGTTGAGTTATGAGAGAGTTTTAATTTTAAGGAGAATGTATCTTTTTAAAACATCGCAACAGTAGCGCCATTGAAACAAAATTTTTTTTAAAAAAGCAGTAATATGGGTCATGTTTTTATACGCTATAGATAAAGGGCTAAAAGGGGAATGGAACTATATAATTGAATGCAACAATTATTACTTATGTAGGAAAGTTTATCTTTTTTTTGATTAAGCTCACCTTTTTAGAATATTCTTATATATTTACAATAAAAGAGAATTTCTTCTTTAAATGGAAAGAAACCAATTGCTGCTTCAATGAATCTAAAGACAATAAAGTTCAATATTGATTTTTAGAATTGTAGGCAAACATTACTTCAAATTAAAATAAAATATTGAAATGTTGAGTGCCTGAATTGAATGTGGAATTACAAAAAGAGGTGGTGGGGAATAAAACCGCGGCTAAAGTTGCTATACCCACCGAATGATATATACATTTTTCTTTTTACAGCATTCACGAAGAATTAATAATAATATTAATATTAAAGCTTAAAGCCGTCTATGAGAACTCTGAAGTTGATGAGCAGGCAAATGTTACCGCTCTCCCAATCCTATTACATGATGATGCAATATGCATTTGATAGGCCCGGTGAATGGATGAACTGAAGTATCCCGCTGGTTGCATTGTCGGGCAGCTCTCAGCCGTGATTCTAATTAACATGCACGATAAGCTTCAAAAGACATGCATTCAACCACTGTTCGGCTGTTGTTCGATGTCGAGCACGTTTAAACGTTTGTCTGACTATCTGTGCAGCTACATATGCAGTAGTGTAGTATATTTGCGAGTGCTATGCTCTCCATGGCCGCTGAAGTTGCAGTTGCACTTACTAAACAAACATTTAGTGGCAGTAGAGTCAACAACATCGATGCATCAACGCCAGCGACAGATATGCGGATGGTCGGACAATGGGTCAGAGAGGGGGACATGAGCAGGGCAAGAGGGATATTCAGACAGCGCGTCATTTCCGGCAGACTCGTTTGGGTTTTGTTATGCGGGTGGCCAACAGAAGCCCCAACTCAGCTCCAGAGCTCAGAAGCCGCGACTGCATAATGTGCCGCATTTGTCTTTGGTGGGACTGGTCGCATGTGCAAGTCGCCTGCCTGCCTGCCTGCCTGCCTGCCTGCCTGCCTTATTTTCCTTATCTGAAATTGAATCAGTCAGCCAACGATGGAAACGATGGCACGATGGCACCGCCGGGCACAATTAGAGGAACAAAAACTTGATGTCTCGCAGCCATTAGGCGTGCCCACGCCCTTCAACATGGAACATATACTATACGTAGAACATGGCACGAGAAATTAATTTGCTTATCGCTCTGCAGACAGCGCTACACAACTCTTGAGCTTCTTTGAAGGGTTGGGTAAGAGCTCAGTGTGTTTATCAAGAGACGGCATATTGAAAAACTATGCAAAACCAATGTTGCGTATGCGTGTTATGGAAAAATTGATTTATTGACAAAACAACAAGCAGCAGTAGCAGCGGCGAAAAAACGAAGAAATATGGCAAAAATGTTAAACAAAAGCGAAATGCTGCAACCCTTTTTTATTTATTCCCTCGTTTTTTTTCTTTCTGTTTTTGTGTGTTTTGTTTATAGTTGTTGGTATTTTGGGGCATGTCCTTGGCACATTTGGTTGAGGGTGTGTGTGTGTGTGTATGTGGATGTGGATGTTTGAGATTTTGCATGCCGTTATTGACAAACGCAGAACATGCCTTCGGCCTGAGTAAAATTTATAGCTTGCCATTAGAGCCAACTGATTGCTTTTCGCTTTCGATTTTCATGCCTGGATCGGCTGTTTCGAAGAGGGTGAGAGTGGTGCTCATGGTGGTGGTGGTGGTGTTGTTTGTGTATGTTTATGTATGAGTTTTGGCATTTCCGCTTTGGAAAGTTCATTGAAGTTTAGCATATTTGTGGCGACAGTTTGCAATTTGCTTGAGTGCCTGGCCTGCTCTGGGTGGGGTGTGCAGTTTATTGTTTTTGCCTTTTGCCATATTGCGTATACGCAGCATGTGCATGTCTCATTTAAGTTATGCAAATCGACGCCATTACACATGTTTGTACCCCAAGTGCTTTGACAGCCTCGACTTGTTGACCTGCTTGCACTTTTTGCAGTCACGACTTCAATTTAGGGGCCATTAGGTCGCAATGCTATATGATATGAAATGCAATGCAACGCCTAGCCAACTGCTTCAAAACGTAATCATAATAATGTGCTTCAGACGCGCTACTGCCATAAATAAGACAAAATCATACACACACACACTCACACACATATACACCCATCCATACGTACATGCATACGTGCACATAGCAGCCTTTCATATGAATAAACTCGCACGTACTTATCGCATCGACTACGCCCGACTGCGCACAGCTGTGCGTACAATAGAGGCCAACAAATTCAAATAAATACTATATGGTTGCTCCTCCTTAAACTAAAGAGGTGAACAACTTCTCCTTCAAGACGTCGAAGGAGTCCATAAAATGTGACGGTCTGACGAACTTGAGCTTTACATCTCCAAAATATATCACAGGATTTTTAGAACCCTGCCCAATTTATTCTGAGGCCAATTTCCTTCTGTCAGGACCTTTGAACTTTGTGGATAGTTGCTTTGGAACAATGTTGTATTTAAACAGATTAATACTCTACATATTGATGTAAGCAAAAATTCGATTAATTTTCAATTTCATCTGAACTTAACATTTGTGATTCCATGTGAATGTTTAATGTCATTCGAATTGAAAAGAAAGCGTTGGTACATCTTATTGTTGCAGGAAAAAAGTGCCTTTATTAATCAGATTATTGACTAGCAGTAGCTTAGATACTTGGAAAAGTATCCAAGCTAGAAGGTTGGGATCTGCACTGATGTCGAAAGGAAAATATTTTTACATCAAATATATCACAGAAATATGTCAATACGGCCAATATGCTCTAAAGAACCAATAATAGCCGAACACTCGAAAATTTGGCAGATAGATTGAACATTTAGATGAGTGTTTCATTTCTTTCTTGTTCCCAGAATCGTATATTGAATAATATGGAATAAATTCGACAATTTTGTAATCCAACGTTCCAATATATATGGAATAAATAAATAATATTTGTTACTGTTGCTAAGCATTTTTTATTTGATTTCAAACTAGATTTTAAGTAAAGCCATTTCCTTATTAATATATGTTGTAAAAATTCAAAATCACATGATACTTAAGCTTCTGTTGCAGTCTAGTACTTTAAAATCATCGAAAAAAGACATTTCGTAATGAATTACTTTTAGAATAATAAATCGTTCGTACAAGTGTTGTTGGGAATTGTGAGGTGCGTAGATTATTAATTATACAGTATAATAAATAACTAGAACATTTGAAAAAACTATCTTCACATCATTTCCGTGTCTAAAATGTTGCCCACTACTGTATCCTAGATGTGGCTATGTGTGTGGGAGCATGTATGTATGAATATTTAAGGCAGAAAATTTATGAAAACAACGTGCTGTTCGCCCAAGAACAATAACTTGAAGCGAGAGTCGAATTCAGTTCTGCCTTCTCTGGACTTGGCCAAAAGTTTTGTAATGCAAAGTTTTTTGCTTTGGCTTCGGCATCCGCATCCGCATCGGCGGCGCATCACGTGACAAAGAATGGCACAACATTTGATAAACATTGCGCATGTGACTGGCTAAAGGGGCAACCATTCATGTACACACATGTACACACACACACATTTCTAGGCAACATCGACGTGTTATGACAAAGACCAAAAAAATGCTGGCAAATGGTCTGTAAGTTATGGCAGTGAGCGGGTGAGGATTCCACTAACAAAGTCAGGTCAGGACGAGGGCAAGGGAGCGAGTTACGTTTTTTGGTTGAGCCAAGTTGCCTAAACTTTTGCGTTTTGAGTTAATACCATTTGGGGTAACGATAACGGCGGCAAGTTGTTCGTCACATACTTGAGACTCTGAAGAAGATGTGTGTGTGCGTGTGTCGCTGTGTGTTCAACTTCCAATACAAATGTATGTGTGGATGGTTTGAGGAGTTTCTGAAAGTTATGCGGCCATATTCCTATTATCATAAGTAGTGGAACAGAAAGAGCCTGAGCGTTTTTCAAATGTTAAAGAAAGCGTCATTCCGATGCAAGTTTGAGTTTCATTTTATGTATTTCGTTAGAAGATATAATATATTGTTTAAGTAAACAGCTGTTTTATAGTAAAAGAAACTGAAGCATAAACCAAGATGTTAGCTAAGTATTATATCGAAATGGAAAGGTTTGTAACCACCGAAATTCTTTGATGTTAGAGGTTATTATAGGATCAGTATTATAGAATAAAATCAAGTTATGAATTGTATGACTCAAATATTAATCAATCCAGTATAGTTGAAGAACTTATAATTCAATATTAAACTGGATATTGATTGAATTCATATTTAACACAGTAATAAACGATGACATCGTAATGTCTATTAACTCCGGTTTTCGGACAAATATCAGAGTAATTGCCAGGAATATAGCATTCTATGATAATCGCTGACGTCAACAAATATCCTATAGCGTAAAGGTCATGCTTAAATTATTATTAAGTTTGGAAAATAGCACCCGACCAGTTTTTTATAACAGAAACCTGTATTTTGGAATAGTATTTTTTGTTTTTGATTGAGGTATAATTTTAACATAGATACAAATCTTTCTCTAAGTACTCATTGCACGATGTAAAAAGAGATATTCCTGCTAATAAGCTGCGAAAAAATCTAGTATAGGAAGAGCTCGTCAACATTTTTTCATGGATTCTACATAAACAATGCTTATTCAACAAATTCGATGAATTTTTTATCAACTTGTCACTTCACCCTCGTGTTATAAGATATTAACGGGCCATCTGAGTTGATCTGAGCGGCACTGCCTTCTCCCCCCGTCCGTCAACACAAAGACTTGTGGCCAATAATTCATAACAAGCGTCGAGAAAAAAGGAAAACTTTGCAGAACTCGTCAAAGAAAACCAATAAACGACCAAGAGAAGCGCGAATTCCGAAACACCCTTGTCAAAGTCGACGTCAGAGTGCGGGGGATAAAGGAAACACATAAAATATGCAAAACTGATGCACAATGACTCAAGGCTATGGCGAATTATGTGACGCAATTGGTCATGGATATGCAGGCTGGGATCTTGACAATGGCAGGACGAAAAAGTTTGGCAATAAAATGAAATTTCATATCGATTGGAAGGGCGGCATCGTTTACTCACCAGCGGCGGTTTGTCGGTCAAACGCTTGCAATTATTGAGCTCTGTGGGTGAATTGTCCTCATCGGAGCTGGGTGTTTGGGCCACTTTGTCGTTGTCATTGCAGCTGTATGGGAACAAAAACAAAGCAAATAAAGCACGCTATAAACAAATACGTCATGCAACTTCTTATACAGAATACTTTCTCTCCCAAGGATCCCGAAATATGCTATAATACGGATATACGTAAACTTTGCCTGGAATAATAAACCATGTCTTATACCAAGAGGAGGGGAATTACAAATGTAGCCCTATATCTGATTTTCATGACTATCTAAGGAGTTATTTATATTTAAATATATGTAAATATATATATATACTATTTATATGTTTCTGTGCAAAGCAAGAATTGAACACTAGAACGTTTCTGTCTAAAAATATTTTCATGAAGAACTAAAAGGTCTTTTAAATTCAGGTGGAATTAAAAAATTGTTTTTGAATTGATAGGCATGAAGTCGAGGCTTCTTATGTACTTATGTACCATAAAGCCGGTGCTATACATACTAAGCATATAGCTGAGAATATTAATATTTTAGAATAGCGCAACATAAAACCAGTGGTGTCGTAGACTTAACTATTTGTGGATTTTTTTAAATTTTTCTTTTTTCGCCAACGTACTACTGATTCAAAGTAGTGGTTTGTCGGCATATTAATGCGTCCACTAAACGCCAACAGCGAGCAGCTTATACTTCAAGAAATTTGTCTGTTCTTCCTATTCTTTCTATTGAGGCACATCTCTAAAGAACATTTTGCTAATTAATTAATTAAAATATTTCTGATTGCCTTTGAAGTGAAGAAATTGATGTTTTAAAACACTCAAGTCTTAATTATTGCATGTGGATGGGAATCTTTTTATACTCTGTACATGAAATGTACAAGAGTATATTAGGTTTGCGGGAGCTGAAAAATGTAACAGGCAGAAGGAGGCGTGGCAGACCCCACAAAGTATATATATTCTTGATCAGCATGACGAGACGAGTCGATCTAGCCCTGTCTGTCTGTCTGTCCGTCTGTCCGTCTGTCCGTCCGTATGAACACCTGGATCTCAGAGACTATAAGAGATAGAGACACCAAATTTTGCACAAAGATGCGTTATGTGTGTATTCTATACGAGTTTGTTTTACTTTTTTGATTTTCCCCCCCACTTCCCCCCTATAGGGGTTTTCCCGATTTTCCATTCGTATAATCGCCTATATCTCGGAGACTATAAGACCTAGGAACACCAAATTTTAGTCTCAGATGCCTTATGTGAATACGCAGAAAATGTATATTTTGGAATTCCCCTCCCTCCCCCCTCTACCCCGCAAATCGTAACTCCCGTAATTCTTGGAATTTCGAACTAAAATTTTGGAAATACCCCCAGTTAGTTATTATATGTCCGTATGCCAAATTTCATTATGATAGACCGATTTAACAAGAAGTTATAGCCATAAATATATTTGCTGATGCAGCGCTGCTGCAGCGCCGCTCAAGCGCTGCCCGCGGCTGTTGTTGATGTTGCTGTTTGGTTGACTGCGAAAATGCTTACACAGACACGAATAGATGCGCATAGGCATACATACACTCACACAGACGCAATTGCTATGTAAATGTGCAATTATAAACCCTTTACGTGAGTTCGAATACCGAGAGAGGTAAAATCGATCAAATTTTTTTTTTATTTTCTTAATTTTTTTATTTTCTATAATTATTGTAAACATATGTACAGAGTATTTCAAAGTCGGGACACCCGACTTTAGCTTTTTTACTTGTTTCGTTATTTTTTTTTTTGGTTTCTAATAATCATTCATTTCTAAAATCTTTAATTAATTAATATTACTCCTAACTACAATCGATTCAGAATGATATTCAACAGTTGGTTATATATTGAAGAATTTTCTATTATTAATTATTATTTAGTATTTAGATAGCTATAATTGTTTGAAACATAATTAGTATAATTGATTCAACATGTCTAGCTATTACAGCTGTGGCTACAATATCTAATCTGGAGATTTATAAAATTAGTTTACTTCCTCTAGCTTCTCTGAACGTTCTAAAGAAACTCTTTTAACATTGTCCTAATTATTTTATCCTGTACATCGGGATCCTTGGGTTAGTTCTCCATTGCATTCCATACCTGATCATCGAACCTATTCGTTCTTAGTGGTCTTACTTGTAAGGTAATAATATTTGTTGGTGTTTAGTTGTGTGTTTGTATGTGTGCGTGCGTGTAAATGGACATGATGATAGGCTAGAAGCATTGGATGAAAGCGATGCATTACTCACTTGAGGTTGACCGGCGTGAAGAGCTGCAAAGGACGACGGCGACCGGGAGAGGGACTGCCATAGGTTGTGGGTGGAGCAGGCGAGGCAGGACGCGACTGGCTACTGCCACTGCTGCTGCTCATGCAGGGGGCCTTGCTGCGTGCCAGAGTAGCCATGCTATTGTAGTGCTGCGACAGGGTGCGTGCCGCTGAGGTGGCAACACCCATCGCCGCTCGCGCTGCATTATCGTGGGGCTTGTTGTGGCTGGCATTGGCATTGTTGGTCGTACGGCTGCTGCAGGAGGAGGAGCGAAATCGGGCGCCCGTTATGACCGCGGCCAGATTTGCGGCAATGCGATTATCGAAGCGATTAAAGTATGAGTTGTTGCTGTTGCTATTGTCATTGACGTTCGCATTGGTGGCCGAAGTTGGCGAGGAGTTGTTGCTGCTGTTGGCGCTGCCATTGCTGTTGCTCATAGCTGTTGAGGCTGTTGTTGTTGTTGTTGCTGTTGCCAGAGCTGTTGCTGTTGCTGCTGGTGCTGTGTTGCTGCCAGTGCTACTCGTATTACTGTTCTTCTCGTAATCCAAATTATTGTTGGTTATCATTGTGGCAGCGTTGGGGGCGTCGCCTTTGGGCATTAACTTTTGCAGTGTTTGAATTATGTGCGTATATAAAAACGCTGCGGGCGGCTGTTGTCGCGCCGCGTGCGGCCAGTCAGACAGACACAAATACGTAACACACCCACACCCACACACACACACACACAGACACAGAGGGGTTTTATGTGTATGGGTGCTTTATTAAATATTTTTCGCTGGTGGGCAGTAAGCTTTAAATATAAGCCGCAGCAGGGCGCGCAGACGTCGCTACTTGAACTAACTGCGGTTTTCGTTGTGGGAAGGGGATGTCGGAGGGAGCCAAGTGTGTTAAACACAAAATTAATTCAAGCGGAAATTGGCAAAACAAAAAAAAAAAAGAAGGACCCCCAAGAACAACGAAAATCGAAAGCGTGAAGCATAAATACGAGGGTGGCGGTGCACAAACATAAATAAACATGCATAAAAGTAGAAAGAAAAGCGAAAATTGAATGCGCGCATATACTCGTAAGTGGAGGACGGAGCCACAAGCCACAAAAATGCACACACATGCCCACACACACACACACGCACACGCATATATTGAATTGAAAGGGGCGCAGCATATTTTGGGGGATGCAGCCAAGCGGTGACGTCATAATAAAGCGCATAAATAGCAGAAAGTTGTTGATGATCATGATGATGATGTTGACGTTATTGTTGTTGTTGTTGTATTGTTTGTTGGTGGGTGTTTGTTATATACATGGTTTTTGTTGTTGTTGTTGTTGATATTTAAAATCAGTGGCATTGAGTTGCACATGTTGTACAAGATGTTGTTGTTGTTTTCGTTGTTGTTGTTGTTGTTGTTGTTGGGGGCATGTGCCATGTGTGCCCGGTTTGCAATTTCATTTTATGTTCAGTATTCAGTTTATAGTTTTTAGTAATTTTTAGTTGTATTTTTTGTTTGTTTTGTTTTTGTGTTCAAAATGTTCATTACGCGTTTCACCAATTTGCGAAAAAGCGTTCCCCCATTTGGCCAATTTCGCATGTGTTCCAATTAGTTGCCAATTTGTGCATATGCATGATGTTTTTACAGTTGTTGTGGTTGTTATTATTATTGTTGTTGCCAATTCAGTACGGTTCAATTCGTTGTTGTGTGTGTTTAAAGCCGATTTCATGTAAATAAGAGTGAAATAAAAAAGCAAAACTTTTTTAGTTATCGCTGTTGTTTTTAGTCACAAAGTTAAAACTTTTGCTTTTTATTAGCTATGAGCTTTCAGTTTCAACTAATGCATTTATTGGCCAGAGCTCTGCGCTGAAAGTTTTTTTTTCCAAATTTAATTTGGCTTTGCTCTTTGGCTTCCATGAAATCATGCACATACTATATTACACGTACATAGCTCTGCTGCTGTTGTTCAGATAAAAACTTTAAAGCATTTGGAAAAATTTCATTCATGCTTTTGGGGTCATTTAGAGCTTAAATTTTCAGTGCAGATGCTCCAGCTCTTAAATATAATTTATTAAAATATTTATATTACTTACGTTGCCTCAGTGGTTAGCAAACTTTTCATTGAACTACAGTCAGTTGGAATGAACAGTTGAAGCTAATTCGAGTTTAATCGAAGGCGGCTCTACATGAGCTGAAAGTAGAGAAGTTGAGAAATTTATTCATACTTATGTACAAATTGTTTTGCTAAGCAGAGTTTACAGAAATCTGTAGTGAGTTAAATTAGTTATTATTAAATACTATAGTATTGTTAAGAAATAATATTTATACATTTGATTCTTTTTTTACAATTTTGTGTTTTGATTTTCTATCCCTCATAGTTTTTATTCTGATGAATAAAAAGTATCATTTAATAAATGTTGCTTTAATATATATATAAAATTATGATAGCTTCAAAATGTCATAATGTTTACACAATATAATATCAATTCCTGAATATGCATTTGGAGCTAAAAGGGCGATGTTATATATATATTTATATTATTATCTTATCAGATTTTAAGTTGTCTCTTTAACTTTATGAATTCTTTCAATTTAATTTTGTTTTTAATTAAGATGGTATTTGGCTCTCGTGAGCATTGAGCACTTAATATTGGTTAATATATAAATTTATTTTTAAAACGTTTCAACACGTTATTGAGTCTGTTTTATTAAGAAACTCATATTCGATTTTTTTTTGTGCAATTTTTTAACTGTTAAAGTTTTTAGTTACTCGCACCAAATTCAATAATATCTTTTTTATTTTTTTGTCCTACTCCAATTTCTTATTTTTAAAGTTTCTATGTATGTATGGGATCTGATATCAGCTGTGGAAGACTATCGGAAGTGTTATTTAATTCGTATATTGAACATATTCATCAGCTAGAAGTGCCGACATAATACACCCAATAGAAATAAGAAATCATACAATCATACTTATAAACAGTTTGAAATGCCTAGAGATATAAGCAAGTCGATATATTCCACTAAGCATTAAAATAATGGATTTTAAAGCACTTTGACTAGCAATGGGTATATGTGTTTATATATAGTTGCCGCTATCGCTGAACATTCTATCATTAGACGCTCACAGTCAACACCTCATTAGGCGATTAATCAAGCGTGTTGAGCATAGAATAACTAACAGGAATTGCTTCGGCCTGGTATGGCATGCGCGGGACACAGATTAAAGTACAAGCGATAGCAATAGCAACAACAAAACAGAAAGGCAAGAAGACATCAGCCAGCTTAGCTGGTGGCGGTCTATGTCTATGCGGCAAGAAAAGGCGCCAAAGCAAAACCCACTAAACAAACCAAAGCAAATCATCAACACGGCATAAGATCACACGAAAGACTTGGACACATGGCTGCTCGTCTGGCCAAGTCGGCGAATAAACAAAGTGCAGTGGGGCGCAATGGAGTAAACAAGCTAGACGATGACTACGACTACGAGGACTCCAGTATATGGATAAGGAGGAGGAAAACTGAGAAGAAAATGAAGGCAGCGGTTGGCTTGACTCGCCAGCCGCACAAATAAAACGCACAGATTAAAGGATGCCCGGGCGAAATGTCTTCTTAATTACTTCGCAATGAACAGTGAAGCAGCAGGGAGAAATCGGTGGAGAAATTGGGGAGGAGAGAGCGAAACTGGGCGAGTAATTGAGAAGTCGAAGCAATGGGCTTCTACTGTGGATGCTCTGCCTGTGAGATGCCTGTAGATGCTGCTGCTATTGGAGCAGCGTCATGTTGGCAGCACTTTAAGCGGAAGTAATTTAATTAATTACAAATGAAACGGAAACACGGCGAGCAAACGAAGGCCGGATAATTGTAAGGGTTTGTATATGGCAGGGTATAGGTACATACAATTGTGGGTGAGTGTGTGTGTGCATTTGTGCGTGCCCATTTTGGGGTTATGTGTAACCCAAAGCAAATACCATATCCAATTTTGCATATTTTGACTAGAGAGCTGAAATGAGGCGGACAGACGGCCTAAGCACTTTTCAAAAAATTTGCCCCAAAAGTGCAATTAAATTTTTTTGTTTTCCTCTCTGTCGGCCGAACCGCAAACTATTAGAAAGGATGGCAGTAGACACGCATGCGAATTAAGCACAGCTCATTTGCATTGCGGTTTTAATTGCTAGGCAATGCACACACATACACACACACCAATACACATACGCAAACACAAACGCGCGCGCACACTCGGGAGGAAAAACCCGCTCGGCTTACAAGGATAATGAAAACAATTTAACGACTCTCTCGACAATTCATGGGGTCGCTCGCTTGCTTGCTTTTTGTGCACACCAGCTCGATATTAAAACAAAAATACAACAGAACAGGACAAAGTGCTGCTGGCTGGCTCACAGTCCTCGTCGCGCTTTAAGCAAATAGAATCCTTTTCCGCTTTCAGATTTCAATATTTTTTGTTTTCCTTTCATTCTCTTTTTTTTATTGCCGCCCCAACATCAGCGAGTTTTGCGTGTCTGCGCAAAATATTTCGAGATATTTTTGACATTTTAATGAAAATATTTTGCGTTACATTTCAAACCGAACCGTTCATCAACAGGGTCTCTGATGAATCCGTGCAGACTGGGCTTAATATTGTTTTAACGAAGAGGATTTGCCTGGCAGCGTGCTCTTTTAAGCCAGCTCTGATGGCCAGTAATTAAATGCTTGACATGCCCGCCACTTGGTATGGGCTGAAGAGGCTGGGGTCCAGGACAAGAAAGGGTGGCTATGGCAAGCAAATTAGCGATGAAGTTGGCATTATAATTATGCCTGTTATAGCATGTATTAAAGGCGATTGTTGGCGGTACAAAGCTTGAAGAGGGAGAGCGCTGATACTGACAGGTGAAACAAATGTTGGAAGGATGGGCGTTAAGTAGAACTGAATAAGCCTGATTGCACAGGAAGAGTAAGTTAGTACGTTGCTTCACTGATTAAAAATGCAGTATTGATGTTGAGCAGACTTTACGCTTAGCAGAAGGAAATATCCACTCTATATTAAGCCATGCATATAATTATCATTGTTTGATTAAGTCGTAGCCCATTATAAGCTTATTGATAATTTTGCAAAAAGCTAAGCAAGCGTTATTTCATCAAGTCAATGCACCAATTCATAAATCAGTTCTCGCAGTGGCCAAAATCTTGAAATTAAAATTCGAATTGCTTCCTCACGCACTCTATTCACCAGATTTAGCCCAGCGGTGATTGATATTACAAAAGCCATAAAGCCAAGAGGTCCCTGCTAAATATTCACATTAATTTCAAAAAACAAACTAAATTCTTTGGCACATCATGTGGCGCAAAATATTCCGTCATATACTGTCGGAACGTCCACAGCGATTAATAATTTAATTTAATGTATTTGCTTGATTTTTTTTAATCAAATGATAGCACTACGTTTTAATTATGAACATCCGGTTTGCATAAAGAACTAAATCAATTCATATTTTTATCACATTTATTGAAAATGATTTAAAGAATACAAAAAAAGTGAAACTAGTTGATCACAGTTTGCTCCTAATTAATTATTATTTTAACTTCAAACACTTTTTCACAGCAAAATCTCTAGTTATCAGAAGTTTTTATATTTATAATTTATGACATTAATTAATTGCTTTAGCTTTGCTACTTTAAAGCCACTATTTGATATGAACAAAGTGCATCACATCAATTAAATGATAAATAAAAAATAAAAAGTCAGCAAACAAAAGCAACAAAAACAGGAGCAGCGGGGATAACAACAGCAATAACAACAACGGCTACAGCATGTAATAAAATCAACAGAGAAACAAAAACAACATTAGCAAAAACATTTGGTTGCATAAAAAGTGTTCCCTTCGCTGTTGCTGTTGTGATCGTTATTGTTGTTGTTGTACTTGGCTAAACAATTTTCGCAGCAAATTAAAACAAATCAAAATCACATGAGCTGAGCATTTTCAAGTGATTGCTGAATAACGAGACAAAAAGACGAAGCTCTCAAAATAACTGAGGGCGGCACAAGTCTCTTGTGCCTGCCAGGCTGCTGTGCAAACATAAACAAGCAATTTAACAGGCACTCGCACATACACGTGCACGAGGTTCAAAAAAAAAAAAAAAAAAAAAAAAAAAATACCAAACATAAACCAAGCAGCGTTGGTAGTTAGCAAACAAACGAAGCGTTCAAGCGCAAAAAGCCAACACAAAGGCGCAGCCAAAGCGTTTTATATATGTATGTATATATGTATACGTGTGTCTCTGTCTCTGCATCACTGTGTGTGTGCGTGTGTGTGTGGCAGCTGTGACTCCAAAATGCCGCAGCAAAGCCGCCGCTACAGCCGCACAAAGATTTCTCACACATGCCAGCCGCAGTTTAAAGTATGCAGCAACTTTTTTTTATACGGTAGAGTGCACAATCCCGCCCCTTACAAAAAAAAGGGGAAAACCTTAATGAAATTTTAATCAAGCTGCAAGGCATAGCTCAAGTTTACTTGCAGCAAAGAGTGAGAGCGAGTGAGAGTGGGGAGGGTTTGTCTGTGTGTGTTTATGGCAAAACATTTTCATAGCATACTTTTATGAGCGGCACGGCAAAGCCAGTTGATGCATAACTTTTTTAGCTGAATTTTCTGTTCTGCACTTAACAGCCATCCCAACAAATAGCTTCGAGCTTAATCAGCCGCCCATCTGTAGACACGCAGAAGTATTCCTCGTGCACACATTGCGTATGCGCAATCATTTATTTATAAACAATTCATTTATGTAATTCAAATGCATTTAAACGACACAGCATTTATCAATTCGTTATGCTGCTTGCCAGCTGTCTTGTAATTTATAAAAAGAATTTATGGCAGCGTAAAATTGAAAAATATTCATAAAGCGTCGGTCCTAAATAAAAACGTGCGCGCACGATAATGATGAAAATAATGACAACAATAATGATGATGCCGATGGCGACGATGTTGACGCTGCTGGTGGCAGGCACTTTCATAAATAACAAGTTAGTGCGTATCATTAAAAGCAAACAGATGAAAAGCACAAACACGCATACACAAACACTCCTCACATAAATTGTGAGCTGGATATGTATGCGCCTAAAATTAGGCAACAAATTTCAATGCAACATGAAAAGGACACGAAACGCGCAGGTAAATCACTAACGACGGCAGCAAGAAA